CATATCTTTTCTCTCCTTGGCCCAATCTGGCTCAGACTTCACCCACAGAGTGCCTTTGGGTAAAGGGTGTGCAGTGACCTTGAACCATGTTTGTAGGTCTAAGGTTAAGGTCATAGCAGAATTATATGAAAAATCCTTGCCCGGAGCATATCTTCCCCTTGGTCCAATGTGGCTCATACTTCACTCACAGAGTGCCACTGGTCAATGGATGTGCAGTGACCTAGAACGAAGTTTCTAGGTCAAGGGTCAAGGTCAAATAGCCTCTCTGTTTAACATCTTTGTTTGGTGCTTAATTTCTTTCCCTTAAGTCCAGTCAACCTCAAACTTTACCAATTGACTTAGGGTACGGAGCATTTTTGATTTTCCTTCCATATTTTGATAGAGGATATGCAACAATTTTCATAGAGGATATGCAACATTTGTGATTTTTGTGCTGTTTTGATAGAGGGTATGGAGCACTCGTGCCATTTTTTATTATAACAAGGATGACATAGAAGCCCTTTAGACTCAAACAACAATCTCTTAATAGTACACAAATGTTCCTCTTCAAAATAAACCCTTTTCAGCTACCTTACAATTTCATGTTCGTTGCTGAAAGCGGGGCCCTTTGAGATGGCCACCATCTCAATGATATCTAGTTTTCACTAAAATCAGTTTATAAATTTCTCATTCATACCTCCTATTGTATATTTTTGAAGACTCACAGTATGAATTAAATGTCTTTGTAGATGCCATTAGATATCACTCGCAATTTTGTGGAAAACAGAGATGGAACCTATGATCTGTATGAAGTGCCAAAAGTTCAAGTAGAGAATTTAGATGAACCATTTAAGGGCAAAAATCCAATGCCAATTCGACCTTTTGAACTTAAAACCTACCTCAAAGTTGGTAAGAATACAACAACCCTTTATAAGTTGTTATGTGTTAAGTAGATGTGTTTAGAATTAAGTGACTCTTGCTTTTTGCAAATTACTTGCAAACTCTTCAGTTCAACAATTTGTTGAATGAATAGCTTACCTTTTATTTATTTTTCACAATAAGGAAACACAGCTGCAGATCAAAAGGAACCAACACCCTTCATTATAGAATGGATACCCGACATTCTGCCAAAGTCCAGAATTGGGGAACTTAGGATCAAATTTGAGTACGGTCACCAAAGAAACGGACAAATTGTGGAGCACAGAGTAGTGACTCATGAAATTCCTGTCCAAACCATACATGTGCAGGATATTGGCTGAATTACGAATTACTTAATATGGAGAAGTGTTTGAAAGATCTCTACAAGTGATAGCTATTATTGTCTCTTGTTCTGTTTTATTATTTAATTGGTACATTTGACAGGTTCTTACATTTCTGTGCTCTTTATGAATGTCTTTGTTTTGAGAATAAGATTGATATATTTGTTGGTATGATTTTGATGATTGCTATGATAGTTTGGTTTGCAGTTCAGAAAGATATTGTAAATGCATTTGCCAAAGAATGAGAGATGGAAGTGTGAATATAAAACTTGTATTTTAAAACTTGGAAGAAATTTTCCCAATACAATTTCCTTCAGTTTAGAAAGAATGCTTTTTAAAAAATGGAAACCAAAAGTGTTTAATTAAGGAATGAATTTAATAGCTTCCCATTTTATACGGTATAAACTAGGTTGGGGCAGTTTATGCGGTTTATAAAAAAGCGTAAACTGTTCCAACCCAGTTTATACCATATAAAATGGGTAGCTATTAAATTCATTCTGTATAATTTAATGTTCATTTATTTGGTGTAAGAAAAAAAAGATGATTGTCCTTAAAAAATGACTTTAATTTGTACAAACTTTGAATGTTACGTCAGGCGGATCGATACGTTTTTGACGCAAGTCATTGTGATGTAGGCAACCCCTTTTATAAGATATAAAGTAATTTTTTTTATCCCATGTTTACCCCTTTATCCCGTGGATATGACTCATTGGATAAATTTTTCATAATCCACAGTTGTGACGTCACAATGGTTTTTGCGTTAGCGCGATGAAGTAAAATAAAGTGGAGTCCTATATAAAACAGTGTAAAACATTGGTTGTGAAGTATTAAACATGGAATAAAAAGAATCTCCCATGATTTGTAGTTGGATATGACTTTTATCCAACTCGTTGTGTGTTTTTATCCCCTCGCCAAGGCTCGGGGATAAAAAACACACAACTCGTTGGATAAAAATCATATCCAACTACAAATCATGGGAGATCCTATATTTATCCAATCAAATACAGCGTTACAACCAGAATTAAATTATTGATTTATAAAGAATTTAAGGGGTTAAAATCATTTCCATGTGTTGTATGGGATATACATGTAGGTGTGTCAATGTGGATATTTACCAATGTGTAGTAACTACACATCTGTGGTGATGAACATTAAATTTTCTTTTCCTTTTTTTTTTTTTTTGGTAGAATAGAAAATCGGGGAAAATTCTTTAATTTGGAAGACCAATTTTTTTAAATTTTAAATTGACATTTTGATTGGTAAATTTTTATGTAGGCAATGTGAGGTTTCTTTGTTTTTCAAACATGCTGCATTGAAATTAGCTCTCTTGTTCTTTCTAACAGGAGTTTAAAAATACAGTTGAACTTTGTTATCTCAGACACTGATATCTTGAATACCAGGGATTTTTCTAAATGCATTGGCAGTCCCAACCACTTTTTCATTTTTTTTACCCTTGTTATCTTGTATCCTCAGATATTTAGAAGTTTAATCTTGGAAGAGGTTTGACTGTACATCATCATGTATTTCTTTATATATTTGATGTCAAGAAATTTAATGGAAAAAAATTGCTGCTCTTTTACAAAAATAGGGACCAGATGAATTAACATAAATCGTACATATATGTACACAGATTCAAATTAACATGTTAGTGCTTAAGGGTTTTTCAAATGGAGATATTTTCTCAACTGATAATGATGTTTCTGTGAAACTTTTATTTTAGCTACATGTAGCTGAGTTCATTGTACATTTGCATACACTTCAATTAAAAAAAATGCATGTAAATTTAGATAAATACTACATGCTAGCTACAGAGAGGTGTGAATGGGTGGAGTTGTGCATGTTTTGTGATTTTGCACATGTATTAAAGTTTTAAGTTGCCAAAACCCAAGAAAGAAAATTTGTTGCATGTTTGCCATATTGGGCATTGAAAGTATATTGCTTGTAAATTTCTGAACAATTGGTACTTGTATATACATACAATGTATTAATTTATTGTTGATTAAAACATTTTTTCATTTCAACTGTCTTGATTTTTTTTTCATCATAACTTGTTGAGGATATACCCTTGGGTTAGGCAAATCATTTGTTATATTAAAGTGACTTATTCTTCATTGTGAGTTATGTTCCAAGTCATCCCAAGTTTTTTGTCTTACGTAACAGGAAAGGAGAAAATGTATGGCTGGTTCGGGAATCACACCTTTGCACCACTAGTCAGGCCAATTTCCAATGCCCAAACCATTACATTCCTCCCTCCTCGAAGACACAACTAACCTTATTTCTTTCTACCCTTGGCAGGACTTTTACCTGCAAGTCCAGGGTGGTCAACGGCACCAAATTATGTAACACTGAAGGAGAATAATGCGACAGACCAGAATTCGATGCCCCCCCCCCCCCCCCAACCACGACAAATCAGGTGTTCTACCATCTGAGCTATCTGGCCATCGAATCCATCAGACCGTCACATTTACTTCCTTTTTTCTGGAATGACAGCGTTAGGGTATATTGATCATGTTAAGGAGTTGGGCGATATAGATGAAAATCAAGCTGCATCTCGTAATGGATAAACCTCCCTAACTTAATCTTAATTCCCAAGGGCATATTCTTTTCTTAAAATGCATGTACATTAAAATTTATTGTAACCGTTTTCAAATTATGTTGGCAAAGCTAATTCATTGACGAAAGGAAAATTTAAAAAAACTACTTACTTTTTATTGTCTTTTAATATAGCCATTATTATTATTATTAAATTCAACTGAAATTCTTATTAGAATTAAACGCGATGTTGTTTAATAGTATTCCCCCTCAAAACGGATTGTACAGTAGAACCCCCCCCCCCCCGATAGCTGCTACATGGTGGGGTTTTCCCTTTTCATCGTTTTTGAAAGGGGGAAGGGGAGATAATTGAGAGCTTACCTATAAATCTTTGAGAAGCAGAGAAATAAAAAGATGAAAATTGTCCTAACTCTAAAAGCATATGTTGGGGGTGTATATGTGCGTCAAGAAAATATTTCAGATACATCAACATGGAACGATTTAACGAAACTGCATAGCAAAGAACATTTTCATACTATATGAACAGTAAAACATGTCTGGAAAAAAAGTGGACTGGGTGCCACGGTTGTGGGTGTGGGTCCCCCCCCCCCCTTATATGGATACATTTGAGTGTGTGTATCGAATCGATCGATTTCAATCAAAGATAGATCGTTATCAAATTTGACATTCTGATATCCGAGAGATTTTGAATGAGATCACCGAAAGTTCTGACATCGCCGATTGACTGATGTTCATTTCTCCTTTTCAAGATACAAAATTAAATATACAGTTATGAATAAGATCATGACTTTGCAAATAGAATGGAATAAATGTCAAATATAAATTCAATGAAATATGTAGATAACGAACAGTAACATATTAAAATACTTTAACCACGTCAACACGTATAATCTCAACATAATTTTCAAAAAATAAATACATGAAAGGAATTCGAATGGAAATCTTGAATTTCTGGAAAGGAAATTCATTTCCATGTACTTCAAAAAAACAAACAAAACTGACAATCTCGGCTTGTTGATAGAAATTTGTTGTTTCCTAAGAGCAACTATGGTGAGCTCCAAGATAGCTCAGCAGTATGTTTCACTACAACTAAATTTTAATCGCTGGGAAAATGACGCTGTAAGTCTCTGATGAATAATTTTCCGGAAAAATTACAAGCATTTTTCCGTTTCGACAATTACGTTTTTTTAGGCATTTCCGTCGTGTTTCGTGTTTGGGAAATCTTGAAAACACAAAACATCTGTGAGCAGCAAAAATGGCTGTAGACCAAGCGACGGTGTATTTAGTAATGATGGCGATCGTAGGCATAATTATGTTACTTGCTTCGATATTCTGCAACGATAACAAGAAAGGTACAATTTGATTAAACTTGTTAAAAAGTATTACATTCAGCTCAACCAAGAGGCAAGGGTTGGGAAGTTTGTCGCAAAACCTAATGAGGGAGGGTGTGGGCGTTATTGACATGATTGTTTACTATGTGTATGTGCTTATGTGACAGTGTTTCATGAAATATGAAATTCTGATGGATAATTTCATGAAATTCACTCGGAAATACGCTGATATATTTCAATCCTTTTGCTCTGATATAACGTTAGATAAATTTTTGTTGTAATTTGAACTTTAAAATAACCCCGGGTACTCAGTATTTTTTTAATATTTCTTATGCCTTCTTCTTCTTCTGATAATGTGCCTGACTCCAATGTTGGGCATTTTTGCACATGTATAAATGGTTAAAATCATGCTGATCGAGAAAGGCCTCGTTAAAATCTGGATAAAATCATCGATCTTTTCTAAAATGAATAGGAGCTGCTTCAGGCCTTGAGAGCCTTGAGTGAATCAGCTGTGACCATGGATGTATCTGTATCTGTACATGGTACGTCGTGGTAACCAATACTGGCTTTTATATGATGGGATGCTGGTAATAAATTCCATATCACTACTCCAGCTGGGAAGAAGGATTCCTGGTAGCATTTGAGGTGACAGAATGGTTGTAAAAACCTCTAAGCATGTCCTCTGATATAGATGATTGTTGGTTGTAAATGACTAGACGGAATATCTATGAGGTCATTCACAACCCTGTACATCATGGTGGCTCGTGCTGTTATCTGCCTGGACTGCAGGGTGTAGATGTTGGAGCATAGATGTAACACTGCTCTCCTTGGTGTAATCACCCATGATGTATTGTGCAGTCTTTCATTGTACGGCTTCTATCTTATTAATATGGGTCTTGTTGGTATGATTCCATACAGTGGAGGCGTATTCGACCTTGGGTTTCACTAGTGTCTTATAACTGGTTGCCTTGATGTACCATGGGCAGCCAGAGAGGTTACGGCTCAAGATAGCAATGGTGTTGTTGGCTTTTCTTGTGATGTTATTTATATGTGGACCCCAGTTGAGCTTGTTATCAATGGTGACAGCCAGGTACTTTGCTTTGTTTTGAACATATTAACAATCAAAAGGATCAGAAACAAGTTCTATCAACTTACTAGTTCCTCTCCTTTGCTTTGGAGGTAATCTTCAAAGTTTGGCCATATATGGAATAGTTGGCCTCAATATTATATACGTCTCTTGTTGGTGATGCGTATAACTTCACATTTTCCTGGGTTGAAGCTCATCATCCAATCAGACTCCCATACTTGTAGCTTGTCCAGGTCTTGCTGAAGGGTGGTGGTGTCCTCCTCATTGGTAATCTTTCGGTACAACAGGCAATCATCTGCAAAAAGCCTTGTTCTGGATTTGATACAGGATGATTAGTCATTGATGTAAACCAGAAACAACAGTGGGCCAAGCACTGAGCCCTGGGGTACTCCAGAAGTTACAGGAGCAGCAACGACTACTTGTTGGCTTCTATCAGCAAGAGAGCTTCTGACCCAGTCCAGTGTCTGTCCTCTCACACCATAGTGCTCAGTTTGATGGTTAATCGATGGTGGAGAACTTTGTTGAAGGCTTTGCTTAAGTTGAGCAACACTGCATCCACCTGTTGGCGCTAGTCAAGACTGCTTGCTATATCATGGATTGTTGTGATCAGTTGACCTTCACATGATTGGCTCTTTCGAAATAAAATACATTTTGAACTTAACAATATAAAAAGAAAATCTTATCATCAATTTTTTTATAGCTTTAAAATTAATAGTTTATTCTTTTAGCTTTTTGCTTATTTCATGTTTCGCTGAACTAATTAAATTAGTTTCTGATGTTGTGTGTAACTTTTATATTCTAGGAAAGCGTGCAGAAAGAGATGGTGGAAGGCAGCCAGCTGCCAGGGCTAGAGATGAAAATCTGCCTCAAGGGGTCAGAAGAAGAGGGAGAAGAAACAGAATGGCCAATCGAGGGGACGAATCTGGTAAATAAATAATAATCAGTGGCACCTGATAAGTGCCATTCTTCTTTAGTTAAAAGAATATCAACTAATAATTATCATCACATTTGAAATGGAATTCAATGATTTTTTTCTACTGTTTGGGAATAGCTTTGGTATTGTATCAATTGTGAGAAATAAAAAAGTTAGAAAAATCCCAAAATTTACCATTGTAGCATTAACATGGTTAATAGTTGTTAATTGTGAGGAAGTGTGTTGAGTGCATCTGCCAACATGTCAGTTGCAATTTAAGTACATTTATTTCAATTTTAAATTTTTAAAAAATAATCCTATTATTTAATCCTTTTACTTATCATATCACTGTACCTGTAAATTGGCAGTTGAATTTCAAATTTTCAGTCATTACTTTATGGCACTGGGAAAATGGTACCCTTTCAGGCAACTCATTTGATGTTGATTGTAAAATACATTAGAAAGCCTTATGTGGACCTGAAATGATATCGAATGTCAAGATTCTTTTTAACCATTCAGTAATTTTTTACCTGCAACATGTGCAAAGAAGAGAAATAATTTTTTTTACAACAAATAGGACCAAGTACTTCACAGAATTGCTTTTCTTCTAAAATGGTCAGAAGATGAATGAAACATTTTAGAGGATTTAAGAAATGAATGTTGTATTCTTTAATGTTTTTGTTTTGCAGATGACGATGATTTACCCAATGCTCCTGATGAGTTTAATCCATTTGAGGATTTCGAGGGAGAAGAGAAGAAGATTGGTAAGAAGAAGATGTTGAAGTTGCAGGCCAAGGAGGAAAGAAAGCAGCAGCGTTTGGTAAATACTCAAAAATTAATTCAATCTGTGTTCGGTAAATACCTTAAATTATACTCTGAACAACAAATGTTGAAAACAACAAATTGTTTATGCTTCAAAAAGTGTTCAAAGAATAAAAATGTTGGTGATTTGCAGTGAAAATCCACTGATCACTGATTAGGAAAATTGAATTTTTTTTTTATTTTAGTGTCGGTTGAATACCATGTAAAAATAAAGCACATTGCATTTTTTCCTAGATAAGATGGAGCAGTAACAAAAAAAATTACTGTAAAAACATCTGACAGTTTGAAATTAATTTTCTTTTATATAGGCAGAGGAAGAGGAACGGAAAGAGAGAAAAGAGCGTGAAGCACTCCTGGAAAAACAACGTAAAAAAGAAGAGGAAATAGCAAAAGCCGAGGAGGCTGCCAGGGTAATTTCCTTTGTCCTTGAGAATCAGAAGCACTAAATAATAAAGGAACAAATTAATCTAATTTTGCATGAGAATTCATTGACATTAGGAAACTAAATCAAAACTTGAATGTGTGGTTTGATTGAGTTGTACACATACATAAACATGTATATGTTCACAAGAAGTCTTCATGTTGCAGGTTAGATGTAATTTAGAATTTTAAATTGGCATGTAAAAATAAAATTTATTAAAAAAAAACATATGCTAGCTTAAACGTCTCTATCTCACCAAGTGTAACGTTTATTTTATCAAACCTGATGCAAATATAAGTTCTGGTTTAAATTGTAAGGTTATCCTCCTGTTTAAGACATAGTGCAATGTATTATGAGGATTTAATTTTTTATTAATAAGTAGTAATAATTATCTCATAAAATAGCTTTCTAGTTTTATTAAATAATCTTTTTTTAATAGATAGAATCCATTGAATACCAGTAATGAATTGAAAATGGCAGTTAGGCTTTTCCTTAGCAGATTGATATAAGACATAGGTTGAACTGACTATGTGAAAAAACAAAATACTAAATAATGATGTGTTTGAAATAATGTTTGACTTCCTCAGGCTGAGGAGGAGAGGATCCGTAAGGAGGAGGAGGAGAGACGAGAACATGAGGAGTACCTGAAGATGAAGGAGGCCTTCAGTGTAGAGGAGGAGGGGGAGGAGGATATAGGACCAGACCTCTCAGTGAGTTATCTCCCTTTTACAAAGCATTACACATCTCTAGTGTAATTATAGAACAAGGAGTTACTGAGTTTTTCCCCTTTATATGACATTACCCAGAAGACTTGATTATAGAACAAGGAATAACTGAGTTATCTCCCTTTATGAAGCATCACATATCTCTAGCGTAATTATAAAACAAGGAGAAACTGAGTTATCCCCCTTTACAAAGCATTACACAAAGAACTGGATTTCTTTAGTGTAATTATAGAACAAGAAGTAACTGCGTTATCTCCCTTTATGATGCATTACACAAAGAACTTGATTTCTCTAGTGTAATTATAGAAGGAGTAACAGCACTAGACTTGTAGGTTATTTTTCCCGTTTTGAAGTAAGGTTTCAATGCTTTTATTCCTGTATATGTATGATGTCTCTGATTTCAGCAGCATTGTAAGTGTAACTTTAAATTTGGTCATTACATTTAACTATAGAAGGATGATAAGGGAGATGAAAAGGACTATGAAAGAAATTGACCACTTCAGGTTTAATATTGCTTCAACAACACATCTGTTTTCTTTTTCAGTCACAGTCACTTCTTCAAGAATTTATTGACTACGTTAAGGTAAGTGTCTATAAGAAGAAATGTCTACAACTTACTGAGGGGTTCCTTTTACATTATATTTTTTTCCTATATTTATATTTTTTTCTAGCAAGATGAAGTACATGTGGTTTGAGTAATAAAGGGAATTTACTAGTATCACCGGGCTGTTTGTCTTGATAGTTCATGTGTAGAATATTCCTGATTTTTGTAGAAGTCTTTGGTTAAGTATAGGCAGTTCCTCTCGGAAGACATTATAAATTCATGAAGTAAAAAGATACAAGCTAAAATAAACAAAGAAAAATTGTTTATACATGTAGCTATAAAAAAGACATTCTGAAATCATAGTAGGTTATAAGCATCAAATGACAATGACAATATTTGTTAGATATGTTATATTTACATGTGTATATCCATAAAATCATGGAGTAGACTATGACATTGTATAGCACATGTTTTATTTCATAGTTAATTTTAAGTGTTATATATAATTGTATACATTTTTTTTTCAGTGTTATATATAATTGTATACATTTTTTTTTTTCAGGAAATGAAGGTTATCATGCTGGAAGACTTAGCTGCCCATTTTAAAATCAAGACTCAGGTAATGTAATGATTTCCAAAAAGTGTGAAAATGTGATGAAGTATAAATAGTGGTGTTCTGTGGATTATGATTTTCATTTGTTTTAGATGGAGATTCATGATTTGCATTAAGTTTTTGGAAATTAAATTCACATTGTCTCTGTTTTTAGAATTATTGTGTTGATTACTTTCTGTAAAATTGAGCATTGTTGTGGTAAAGATGTTTGAAACATTTCTGAAAAATTTTGTTTTGCAAGAAATAACTTACAGTAGAAATACAATTTTTACATGAGATTAATTTATTAACAATTCACAAAGTCCGCATAATTTTCCTACCTGTACATTGAACAGAAATTGTGATTATGTAGAATTATGACCTCATATAAAAAAGTATGTTAACAGTTTGGTAATTGTTTATCAAAAGTTCAACTTTTGCTGACAACAGAAGGTGAAATGCCATAAAAAAATGAAGTATGCCATTTTTTCTCTGTAGGATGCTGCTGATCGAGTTAAAGAACTACAGATTGAAGGTCGTTTGACGGGGGTAATGGATGACAGGGGAAAATTTATATTTATTACAATGGAGGAACTCGAATCTGTGGCCAAATTCATTAAACAGCATGGCAGAGTGTCAATATCAGACTTAGCAGAGTCCAGTAATCGCTTAATTAACTTAAATCCGGACAATGCAGAGGTTCAGAAAAGACTTCTGTCTGAAGTTAGTGCCTGAAGTCTGTGTATTGTTTAGGTACCTGTGATAGTTGAATAATAATGGGACATGAAAGGGAAAAAGATCAACATGTTTATTTATAATCTGTTAAAGAATTCTTAGTGTGTACAATGGCATCAGAGATTCATTGTTGGTGGTTGGAATTTCTGAAGGTGCCATACAGAATATTTAATTGGATGCTATCATTGCAGTGATTATATAACTAATTTAGTATCAAATTGCTGCAGAAATGTTTGAGAGGGATTAAATTATGTTTGTTTCTGGTTAAGACTCCTCAGCAAAATTAATGTTTGACATCATTTGATAGGCTGCATTAATGACTGTTCTTTAATTGATTACATTGCAAACAAATCAGACATCAAGGTTCTGGATATGGACCCATGTAATTCTAACCCACACATTTTTTTTTATCTACAGTTAAATAGAATTTTCACAAGATAGTTGTTACTGTTTTTATATTTCTTGTATTTATGAAAGATGTTATGTAAAATGTCTGTTAAATTTGGAAACCAAATGTATATCAGTATCAGGGACACTGTTTCCACCCTGTATTACTACTATAAACAATGTTCTTATTTTTTTTTGTGCAATACATTTTGAATTAAACACTTGATCACATTAATTACTTCATTGTGTCTAAAGTTATATTTTCCAAAGTTTAACTAATCTTCCTCTGCTAAAAAAAAAAAAACACAGACACAAATTTTGAGATGTTCTATTACTGCAAAACCATGGCCATTAGGATGGTTAGGGGCAGTTACAGATGTGTAAAGATCTGCAGAGGAATACATGTACCTAGGAAAAGTTATTAGTAAGCATGTGCACCCAGGACTATGGTTCAATAGACTAAAATCATTTGAACAAAGATAAAATGTATGATTGAATGCAGTTCTTATCTAATGTAAATCAAACTTGTTCAACCCAGTGAGACTCCAAAGGTTCTTAAGAGTAATTTTTGAAACATGATCTAAAAATCAAGATAGCCGTTTATCTAATTATTATGCAATCATTCTTATGTGTATGTTTTTTTAATCGGTGATTTGAGTGGCACTAGAATCTAAAATCTTTGTTCTCATGAACAGCAGGAATATGTCAAAATAATATGTAGTGGGCTTTACTAACAGGATCACTCGCTTCTTAGTTCAAAGTGGCAGCACAAAAAGGCACGATTTGAGAGAGACAGCACGAGGGAAATAACGCGAAGGAGCAATACTGCAGTAAACTATGACACCTTTGACATCCTTGCATTCTTGTTTCCATGCATTCTTGCCTCCTTCCCCTATAAATAATAATTGTCATAAAAAACGATCTTCAAAGGAGATGGGTGAACAAGGCATCAAGGAATGCCTATAGCTTCAGATTTATAAAAGTCATATTCAGTTTGTGAATTTAATATTTTAGAGTTAAGTTCTCATTATCGAAATTTATGAAATTATGATAAACAACACTTTTCTGAGGAAATTTTTATTGGCAATTTTTTTTTCTGTTATTAAAAATAAAGTGGTACTTGCGGGGTTCAAACCTTTGCAATAAAAATCCTGAGTATCATTTTCCTTTGAGATCAACACGCTAAACACTACGCTACATAACTCTTGATGAACACACAACACGCTAAACACTACGCTACATAACTCTTGATGAACACACAACACGCTAAACACTACGTTACACAACTCTTGATGAACACACAACACGCTAAACACTACGTTACACAACTCTTGATGAACACGCAACACGCTAAACACTACGTTACACAACTCTTGATGAATAACGGCATTTAAATCATGTTTGTGATACGACCCTTGACTGAATGGACTTCAAGTATTTCTCAGAAAGATGCGATTGTTGTGTCATAAAAGTATATTTTTTAGGTATATTGGGTTTTTGCTCCATGTGTTTGTAAACCAAAAAATAAACATTTTTACGCAAACTTTGAGGATAAACTTTCAACAAAAATTAAAAAAATGGAGCGAAGACCCACTCATATCGAAAAATTGTGTTAAACTATGAGAAAATGATCCTTTTTGCCCTCTTTAGTGTTGATGCTATTTCGCTCGACTTGTTCGCCCATATTTTTTACTCCAATCTTCAATATAGTACATAAGTTTTCTATTACTTGATGTCCGCCATCATGGAATTTGAAGGAGAAAAAAATGAATATGGCTAATAATTAATACAGCCGATCATATTTATTCAAACAGTGTGCTCAAATCACCCCCTTCATCTTCCCTGTTCAACCCAGGGTACAAAGTGTTACTCATGAACATTGATTAATTGTACATTTGTTTACGTCCCATTCGAGAATTTTTCACCCATATAGAGATGTCTGCATATACGTGTGAAAGGCTTCTCCCCACCACTCCCATTCTCCCTCCTCTTTCCCCACCCCACCCTCTCTCTCCCCATCCTCTCTCTCCCTCCCCACTCTCTCTCTCCCCCACCCACTCTCTCCCCACCCCCTCCCCACTCTCTCTCCCCACCCCCCTCTCCCCCACCTTTGAGTAAATGTTCACCTTATTACAGGCCCTAGCCATGCTTGTGGGAAAATTACAATCATTCCATTAAGCAGTAGAACCATTCAATAAAAAAAAAAAAGAGAGCCATGCAAAATGTGTGCTCAAAAATTGTTACAAGGTTGGCTCTGTCGCGCATAGCGCCCTCCTCAAGCCATGTAACATTATAGAGATAAAGTTTGTAACCCGTAAAACATTTGAAACAAGCATTCAATTCTTAGTCTGAAGGAAGAATTTAAGTTATGAAAAGGACCGGGGATGAAGGGAGGGGTGGGGTGTTAGAAATTCGAAATTCCTTAAAATTTGTTGCTAAGTTTTGGTTAATGCTGCTTTCTTGAGGAAAAACATGGAAATTCAAGACTGGCAAATATACGTCGTAAGGGCCTTGTAATACAAATAGCATAAGAAAAATTGGGATTAACCCATTTAGAAGGTTTGCAGGGAAACCAAAACAGGATGAAGGGACATACATTAATTTCCCTGAGTCCCCCTCCCAGTTTTATACATATTAGTCTTTCCCCATTATACACTTGAATGAGGCAGACTTATTGTAGTTTTCATGAAATAGGATGCCAATCTTAATGTAATGCATTTTGATAAGTTCTTTGATTTGGAAAGATTTACCTTTACAGCTCCACTTCAAAACCCTCCACTAATTAGGGCCCCGCTCTGCGGGCACCCTATAGTGATCAATCTGTCTGTCTGTCTGAGATCTCTTGTCTGGAGCATATCTTCTCTCTCCTTGGCCCAATCTGCCTCAGACTTCACCCACATAGTGCTTTGGGTAAAGGGTGTGCAGTGACCTTGAACCATGTTTCTAGGTCTAAGGTTAAGTTCATAGCAGAATTATATGAAAAATCCTTGCCCGGAGCATATCTTCCCCTTGGTCCAATGTGGCTTATACTTCACTCACAGAGTGCCACTGGTCAATGGATGTACAGTAACCTTGAGCGAAGTTTCTAGGTCAAGGGTCAAGGTCAAAAATAGCCTCTCTGTTTAAAATCTTTGTTTGGTGCTTAATTTCTTTCCCTTAAGTCCAGTCAACCTCAAACTTTAGCAATTGACTTAGAATACGGAACATTTTTGATTTTCCTTCCATATTTTGATAGAGGATATGCAACAATTTTCATAGAGGATATGCAACATTCGTGATTTTTGTGCTGTTTTTTTGATAGAAGTTGTGGAGCACTCATGATTTTCGTGCCATTTTTAGCTCACCTGAGCCGAAGGCTCAAGTGAGCTTTCCTGATCGAAATTTGTCCGTTGTCTGTCGTCGTCGTTGGCGTTGTCGTAAACTTTTCTAATTTTCATCTTCTTCTCCAGAACTACTGGGCCAATTTCAATCAAACTTGGCACAAAGTATCCTTGGGTGAAGGGGATTCAAGTTTGTTCAAATGAAGGGCCACGCCCTCTTCCAAGGGGAGATAATTACGAAATAACAAAAAATTAATGGCATTATTGAAAAATCTTCTCCTCAAGAACCAATGGGCCAGGAAAGAGGAAACTCATGTGGAATTATTGTCAGGTAGTGTAGATTCAAGTTTGTTCAAATCATGACACCCCCCCCCCCCCAGGGTAGAGTGGGGCCACAATGGACAATCAAAGTTTTACATAGGAATATATAGGAAAAATCTTCTTCTCAAGAACAGCAAAGCTTTGATTGGTCATATTTATACGGAAGCATCCTCAGGTGGTGTAGATTCAAGTTTATTCAAATTATGATCCCCAGGGGTAGTTTGGGGCCACAGTGGATGATCAAAGTATAACATAGGTGCATATAATTGCAAAAATCTTTTTCTCAAGAACAGCAAAGCAATGATTGGTAATATTTATATGGAAGCATCCTCAGGTGGTGTGGGTTAAAGTTTGTTTAAATCATTACCCCCGGGGGTAGGTTGGGGCCACAATGGACGATCAAAGTTTTACATAGGAAAATATAGGAAATATCTTCAAAAATCTTCTTCTCAAGAACAGCAAAACTATGATTGGTCATATTTATGTGGAAGCATCTTAGTATGTAGATTAGTATGTAGTGGTGTAGATTCAAGATTCTTTAAATCATGACCCCCAGGGGTAAGGTGGGGCCACAATGGACGATCAAAGTTTAACATAGGTGTATATAGGAAACATCTTAATAAATCTTGTTCTCAAGAACAGCAAAGCTATGATTGGTCATATTTATGTGGAAGCATCCTCAGGTGGTGTAGATTCAAGTTTGTTCAAATCATGACCCCCAGGGGTAGGGTGGGGCCACAATGAACGATCAAAGTTTTACATAGGAATATATAGGAAAAATATTTAAAAATCTTCTCAAGAACAGCAAAGCCACTGTTTGTAATATTTATATGTAAGCATCCTCAGGTAGTGTAGATTCAAGTTTGTTCAAATCATGACCTCCAGGGGTAGGTTGGGGCCACAATGAAAGTTCGAACTTGTAGAGAAAAATGTCACAGTTAGTCAAAAAATTATGTAAGCATCCTTAGTAAGTGTAGATTTAATTTTGTTCAAATCATACCCCCACTCCCTTTTAGGGTAGGTTGGGACCACTTATGCATTTAAGCATTTCAATACTAAACTGATTTTTTCTTTTTTCCTAGCCACAGTGCTTAGGTGAGCGATGTGGCCCCTGGGCCTCTTGTTTATTATAACAAGGATGACATAGAAGCCCTTTAGACTCAAACGACACATCCCTTAATAGTACACAAATGTTCCTCTTCAAAATAAACCCTTTTCAGCTACCTTACATTTTCATGTTCGTTGCTGAAAGCGGGGCCCTTTTAGATGGCCACCATCTCAATGATATCTAGTTTTCACTAAAATCAGTTTATAAATCTCTCATTCATACCTCTATTGTATATTTTTGAAGACTCACAGTATGAATTAAATGTCTTTGTAGATGCCATTAGATATCACTCGCAATTTTGTGGAAAATAGAGATGGAACTTATGATCTGTATGAAGTGCCAAAAGTTCAAGTAGAGAATTTAGATGAACCATTTAAGGGCAAAAATCCAATGCCAATTCGACCTTTTGAACTCAAAACCTACCTCAAAGTTGGTAAGAATACAACAACCCTTTATAAGTTGTTATGTGTTAAGTAGATGTGTTTAGAA